GGAGACCAATATCCTTAGCATCTGCTAGCCACACAAAACATGGAACATAAGGAAAACTACTCAAACCTTAAGCTCCCAAAATACAAGAGCCAATAATGCTCTGTTCTCCAAGAGCTAAAATAGACCACAACTGTTCTTTAAATCACCTCCAAACAGTACGTGAGGTTTAGCAATTCAAGTCTATTTTGAGATACTGCTGCCTACCACAAAGCATATATATTATAGGTTGATTTCTCTGCATAGAACGGTTAACTGCATTTTCATACCATGTGAGTTAGTAATCACACATAAAACATGACCTACAGTAATCTTTAATAGGTAGAAAAGCTTCTGCATTATGCTGTCGTGTAGCAAGTATTATTTTAGTGACAATATGTCCATACAAGAACCAACGCAAAATTGCTAAAGAACACAAACTTTGTCTTTCCTTACGCCTATTTCAAGTTTTCCACTTTATTCCACAGGAATTATTAGCCAGTACAGATTTGTCTATGTGTGCTGAGCTTACAGTACAACCACTTCTAACCCACATGCTCCCAAAGCTCCCTTATTTTCCCGGAAAGAACGGTTAAAGTTTATTCCATTCTGCCAACTTCTCTGCCAAGTGAAGCTAAGAAGTGGCAGTTTTTATTCACTGGCAGTCCCCTGTCTTGATTTTCACCTCTTATACATCAAGTATAAAACTACAATTAATTAAAGGTAAAAAAAAAAGAAAAATCATGTAGCATTACCAACTGCTAAATGATGCGTTATCTTCGTATGTAAATCAGAACCTCTCAATTGTGCAAAGTGGGTTACAGACAAAGAACTCCATCGTGCTGGGAGGGAGTTGGGGATGATGCTGCACTGTGCCAGACCAGATGGCAGACTTCAAATCTATCTGCAGCCTCTCCACGGACTATATGCAGGACAGTAACAATGACTGTCCATGAATGGACCCTTTCACCAATCACACATAACTAGCTCCACGAGCATGATCAGAGTTATCTGTTCTCTCCCCCACTACTTCTCCTATTACTCTGGCACAGCTCGCTAAAAATACAGACTATTTCTTGGTGACAAAGGGACCAAAGGAAGACGGAAAAAGATAGTATGGGTGGGTGGAAGGGACAAGTTAGTCATACAGTCATCACTTCCCCTACCTTTACTCATGCTATTACATCACTCTACATTCAAGTGAAGTATCCCACACACAGAAACCAAGATTTAAAGTGTATGCCACTCTACACAACTAAAAGCACAGAAGACAAAGTAACCTGCCAATTTAAGGATGGACACTGTTCAAGCAAGGAGTTGGGAAGTAATCTTGTGAAAGACAAATTTCAATTTAGCAAGAATTACAGGGGGTTGAAATGGGGTGGGAACAATTTTTCTTATTCAGCAATACTTAGAGAAGACTGAAGAGAAGAACATTAAGTGCAGACAGACAACACTTAGTACTACCAAAAAAAGATCAAGAGACTACAAAGTAATAGTCTCTGAAGACATTAACTTTCAGTGTTCAAAAAGGTAGCGTAAAAAATTGTTATGAAAAGGACAAAAATAAACAAATCATGATGACATCTAATAAAACAATGATTTTTGATCAGCCAGGGAATTCCAGTAAACTCTCCTGAAAGCGGCAGAGACAAATTCAGAATGAGAACAACAAGGATGGTCCTGGCCAATAGGACCACTGAGAGTTATCTTCCGTCATGATGCTGACGTATCTGCAACCCCCATGAAGTTCCTACAGCACAGACTGCTAGGACGAAGATGACACCACTAAACTGCTTGTCCAATTGCTCAGGCAAAAGGTTTGAATAATCCATTACCACCAATAGGTGTATTCCTGCTCTCCCTTCCAGCCTCCCATTCTTGGCTGCAATCCTACTGCACATCAGCACACATCAGCCCCCTCCCAGACTAAGCAATTCACCCAAATAACCACAAACAAGCCTCAGAATAAAACCAGTACCTTTTGATATGTTAAGTACAAGTAAGTGCCAAAGCTGGGACAAGGGAGGAGATGAGACAATGTAAATAAGAGCTTTGGGGAAGGAAGGAGGAGAGGAAAGGGAAGTCATGTCCTCCCGTTTTTGGTGGATATGGAATTACAGCCTCCTTCCATAACATTCACCAATATTATGTCAGAAAGTATGCTAGACCATACATACCTTCAGTGGGCCAACACATGGCTGTTTTACAGGATTTCCCTGTATTTCCAGGTCAGTGAGCTCTTAAATACACAGCAGAATTATTTTTTAAGATAGAATGGTGAAGTTAATAACTGCAAAGTTTAATTTCCTTTTTTCAGACAAGCATTTCCTCCTAGCAAAACAGTCTTCCGTTTCACTTAATGTTATGCTCTTCCTCTTGTGATTCCAATAAAACTAAGTTGCAGAAGAAAGGATGACTTTTAAAAGTCCCTATACTGCCTGGAGAGAACAGAAATGATCGGTCAGAAGGGCAGAGCTGCCAAGTCACTGACCTCTTTCGTAAGAGCCATAGCAGCAAAGAAAAATTTTAAAGGTCAGCTCAATCACAGACAGTCTTAAGGAAGACAAAAAGAAAAAGAGCTACCTTAAAGCACTATGTGAGAATAACAAATCTCAGAACAGATCTGCTCTGGGCATGAAGTAGTAGCCTTTCCCAGTTTCTGCACAAAAAAAGGGGGTTTTCCTACATGGGCCCTAGCTCTTCTTCATAGACTACTTCCTCGTAGGGATGTACTCCATTAGAAACAGCACCATTCAATCAGTTGTGTGGGTAGGATGATAGGATTCAGGCACACTCGGAAAAGGTGTTTTGCTTCACAATGCAGCCATGAAGATTAATAAACCCTAAACTACAGTTTCCAGGCATTAATAAATGAAAAAGGAAATAAACTCCTTTGTTGGTACCAAATGATTCTACCACAGAATCTTTGGCTTTTTGCTCATTTAAGGTGAATTTCATTTAACCACCACAGAATCTGTCACAAACTCAAAAAAAAAAAGTTATTTTCTCCTTTTCCTTTCACCAGTGATAAGAAAAAACCGTTGCTTCACAGTAAAAAGTCCCATCCCATAGCATAACAGTTTTAATACTGTTGAATATCAGTTCTGTAAACTTGGGGACAATTTCTCAGAGTTTAACACCTCCCTCAGGCTACTGAAATTAAAAAGAACAGATAGAGCACAAACAAAGCAGCACTGTTAATGAGTGTAGAGAGCTGAATTCGGGTCTCAAATTACCAACACTTTCTGGCTACCTCCTTCAAAGGAATCATTCTAATCAATTTATCTGGGCAGAGAAACAATAGCCACATTCTTATGAGAAGCCATCACCGGGTTTACAAAGGCAGCTCTCATGTCTTTGTGAGAAAAGCTTTTGGGGGTGATTTTGAGCCTTTCAGTCAGTGGCTAAGATCTCAGAAAGCAACTGAAAAAGCAACTGCAACACTTGCAGCAATATACTATATTAGCTTCCTGTAAAGACAAAGCAACTTCTTGACCCCGGTGTCTTGATTCACCAACATCAAGTCACTTAAGTGCAGCAGGTGGTTTGTTGATTACTCATGCTACCCAAAGAACTGACCAATCTGGGAGACAAGAAGGGCAGTCTTACTGATGCCTCAAGCGTATCACACATGAAGTAAGAGTGGCTGAGATTTAGATGGAGACCTGCAAAATCAACTGCTGAAAACATCTTGCATTTTTTTAAATTATGAAATGCAAAATTCAAGTTTTTCTTGTGCTATGGAAGCTACAGAAGTGATTAATTCAAGTAAATCATCTTTTTAGCTCGAAGGAAACAAAAATGCAATACTGCTCAATTTTCCACATTAAAAAAAAGCAGCAGCAGCATGAATGATTAAAAACAAAAACAAACAAAAAAACAAACAAACAAACCACCACACAAAAATGGGCCTTGTCAAGCCACAGAAAGAAAATGATTGACAAGCAAACAACAATACAATCAATGATTGTCACAGGCTGGCTCCAACTGTTAGGCCTACAGCAATAATGCAAAGGTTTGCATTTTAACCTTTCACAGAGGAAAGGACACATTTCTATCTACTTCTGTTTTGCTTCACTCGATACAAGTCTCCAGTAAGACTATACTGAACACCAACTTTTTATAGAAAAGGAAATACACCTAAACTGTCAGTCATTAATTTCTCACTATTTCAAATAAAGATTTAAATCTAAGTGTGACTTTGATGAGTTGATCATTACGCTGACAAGCCTGCATCACTCACACTATACATCAGATGAACTTTTGCTGCAGATGGGTAGGCATGCTTTCAGCACAGCTCATTCAAATTAGTGTTAATTATTGATTAGAATAAATTCAGCTTGTTCCATTTTCTCCCGTAAAAAAGAACATGCACAAGTGACTTTCAACAGGCCAGATTTCTGTTTCATAGAATATTTCTACGAGTCAGCTTCTAGTTTCAGTTCTTTAAATTCATGGGAACTTTTTCCCCATCTCCTAACAGAAGACCACCAGCACTTTAAACATTCCCCAAACTGGCTGTGTTTGTACTGGTGTTTCCTCTTTGATTAAGCAATGCCTAGGCAACAAAATCCCAAATGAACACCTACTATTGATGTATCCCAGACTAGTTGTTTTTCTGTGTTGTGCATTGCTTCAAAGAGTTCTGCGCTCCTCAGATTTAAATTAAAAGCAATGTTTGTGATTTACTTAGAATAAAAACATTAACTATACAACATTATAGTCCATGATTGGCTTAGGAGGTGGAAGAGATGGGGGAAGGCTCTTAAAAAAAAAAGTGTACATACTCTTTAAAAAGATTCCTTGCAGCAGAAAAAAAACACAACAAAAGAAGTAGACACAGCCTATGCAGTCCATGCAAAAGCAGTCAATCTTAAATCAACCCCACTGCATTACAGATTTTAGCTAAGAGTGTCACCATGGGGGAAGAAGGGGGGAGGATGGGAAGAAAAAAATGAAAAAGTTTGAAGAAAAAAAAAAAAACCCAACCAAACCAAAGTCTTGAATTAATGACACTCTACCTCAGTGATTGGCTGCCCTTGTGATGTCAAGTCGAGTTCCTGAGGTCTTGTCACCTTATCGATATCCAAGGAGTCCATGCTGGAAGCTGCAGAGGTTATGCTGGAACGGGAGGAGTTACTGATTGAGCGCACTTCAGCATCACTCACGGTGCCAGCAGATGCTGTCCTCCTGTGCTGAGCAGTAACTAATGGTTTGGTGTCTTCTGCAACAGATTGTTGGGCTGCCTCATCCATGCTCAAAGAGGCCTTCTCTAACTGTGCAGTGATGTCATCCAAAGATACGTTGGCATGTGATGGTTTAGTCACCTTACCAGATGAGGAGGATAATCCTTTCATGCTGCTGTGCTTAGTAGAAGGCCGGCTAGCAGGTGGTTTCTGAGCTTTGGATTCTGTGGCAAGACGTTTCACTGCAGCATTGTTTGCTGAATGAGACCCAATGCTACTGAGCTCCTGCTCTATGGAACAGAGATCAGCCATGAGGGCATCTAGATCCACAGTCTCCCCCTGATTCAGGGCTTCTGCAACAAACAAGAGTTTCAGTACACGCAGTTACTTTGTTTATGCAGCACTTCACTTCATATTACCAAATTTAACAGTTACGGTAAGGGACCAAAGGAAGCAGTATTTTCTTTTCCTATCTGTACTGCAAAATCTCTACTCCTCGACGGGTATAAGAGCCATTAAAACCCCAAAACCTATTTGGGTTAAATATATTTGCCAATAGAAGAAATCCAGAAATGTTCCAATTACATTTGAAAAGTTTAAACTGCTGTCGTGTGAACAAAATCTAAAAATACATTTGGATAATATCATGGTTCAACTTTTCAAAAAGTGTAGGTGTTTTGCTAAGCATTTTTTGCTAAAGCAATGCAAGGTATGTGACACTGGTTTAAAAAGAAAGCCACAAAATACTGTACACATGCTCAAGCCCTTGACTTCAGGCTTCCTGTATTACAACCAAGGGAAACTCTTTTAAGACAAGGAAAATCATCATTTTTATTTAGCATAAAAGCATTCTGTAGCTATATTCCTGCATCCTGTCCCATGAAGCAAGATGCTCTTTCTTCCTGTTTAACAGATATGCATCAATTCACTCTTTCATGAGACCAGATCCCGGAATGTGTATTTTTGTACACACACTAGACTACAATTCTCAGATATTAGGTGCTGTAAAAGATTAACTGCTTTAGGATAACCAAAATTCTGTGCCTTAAGAAAGCAATGCCTTCAGCAAATATGTTCTCAGTTCAGCCAGAAAGGTGTTTAAATTCTCTTGTATTTTACAACATTTTCATTTATAGCTGGAGTAGGTTTTTTTTCCTAAACTAATGTAAGAGAGGGTTGAATAATTCAACAAACCATTCAAATTATACATGGAGAAGCGATACGAGAAGTTGGCAAGATTGGTTTCCTGACGGAGAGGTGATCTCTTCACTGGTGCCACAGGCTTGTCTGTATCCAAACTCTGAAAAAAGACAAGAAGGGCAGAATAAAGTTAGATAAGGAACTGGATAAGCAAATCTTCAAGATGAATGAAAATTAATTTTCTCTAGGATAAATATTTTGAAAACTTCTGGCATATAAAAAACCCCTACAAATTCTTTTCAGGCTTTACACTGAAAACATGTTACCATACCACAGAGATTTTGCTTCACATACTCAATGGAGAAAAAAAATGTTAAAAACTTTCTGGGTTTTTTTAAGAATGAAAGGTCATAAGCATACTCCATATGCATTTTTAAGTGGTATTATATAGTAGCTCATTTTGAAACACAGGCAGCTGTCTTACCTGTAACAACTACTCCACAGCGAATTGCACAAGTATCTAAACACATTCAAACTGTGGCACCCTCACTACGAAATGGATCATTAGCTTACGAGCATAATCGTAGCATAAGCACACAAAAGCATGCAACGAATAATTCCACTTTATTAAAGGGGATTTTAAATTGGCTACATTCAGACAGTTTTCTCAATAAGCCATTCCTATGGAAAATGTTAAAATTATGAAACGAAACCCAACCTAGTTTATGTTGGATAATTTTTTTTTAGAAAAACTAATATAGGTTGGGAAAAAAAAAAAAAAAAGAAAAAAAGAGAAACAAGACATGACCCAAGAGGTACATGACAGGGTACGGAGCTGCTGTCACTCCAGGGGCAACTGCTACATGGGGAATCTAGATCTTGCTGTCACTGAAGCTTGACAGGCCTGAAAAGGGTTTGAATTTAAGCAATGTTTGTACTGATAAAGCTTTCCTGAAGATACGCTTGTCTGGAAGAAAAAGGATATCTTCTCGTTCTTACAGAACAAAGTTTCTCACCTAAGCTCTAGTTTCTCACCTATTTCCATTTTCTACATCTTCATTCCAGCCTTTTTTAAAAAGTCAAATGCACTATATTTTTTCCCCCTAATATTTATTTTTGCTGGAAACCCTTCCTCCTCAGTTTGTATTGAGCCTCAAAAAAAATCCAACCAAAACCACCATTTTATTCAGAAGTCAAGCATCACTTAATGAGAAGCCAGTGATGCAGCCTTGTGTTCCATCAGGTGGAACCACCACCTTCACCTCTAGTAACTCTAGTGGAGCTTACATATTATCCCACACAGAATAGCTGAAAAAAACCCCATAATAACAAGAACAATATCTGTCTATAACCCTAGAGACAGCAGTGAAACTGGCGACAGAAGAGGCAAGTTAGGGCTCGTTCCTTCAGGCTGAACCCACAGACTGACTGCCACAGCATATTTCCTGTAAAGCAAATATATTCTAGTCAAAAGCATCTAAAATGTGTTTTACGAAATTTAATAATAATTATTTCACATCCTTGGAAACACATGTGATATGCTCTCAGTACTATCAGAGCACATTCTTCATAACACATTATGACGCTAAACTAGCAGTTTGGAAAACTGCTGAAAATTGCAACAGCACCAAAAGCTTAGTTCTGAATGATGATTGCCTTGCCTTGCACCTTCCAGTGCCAAACACTCCTCACACGTGCTGCAAATTTTGTGACTACATTTTATAATGCTTCTATTAGACCAACAGGTGAAGAGGGCAATGTGAATTCAAATGATCTCATAGGCATCTTAACAATTACGAATCATTTACAAAGCATTTCCATTTGGAAAGGAATCTGGGTTTTACTTTTAATCCCCTCACCTCCCCAAACATTTTAGGAAATCTTAGGAGGAAGTTCAGGGAACTCTGGGACAAAAACCCTTTTCCTTCTACTTAAAAGTCCAGCTGATAAATAAATGCTGAGACTACACGACAATGCACTTTGGAGCTCATCAGCCCTAATCACCCCACTTTATTGGGACACTGCATCAATACACAGTCAGTTTCCAAAAAAACAACTGAGGCATAACTAACTGCATTAACTTGTTTATAAAAACCATATGAGGTCATTCACAGTTTTGGGGGAAATGTCCTTTATCAGCAAAGGATATAAGGGCAACTGTCAGGCTATGTTACAGACTGTGTTGTACAGCAATATGAAAGTGAGAAACAAATAATGTGGGTCCTCCTCTGAACTATCTGTTAGTAGGTTGTAAGAATTTTGCATGGATCAGCAAAACAAATTGAGACATCACCATAAAGTCTCTATGTCAACAGAGTAGGTGTAAGCCCGAATTTCTAGGCTGCTCATACATGGAAAAAAAAAAAAATGGGGCAGAGAACAAAAGGCCTAAGACCGATTACCCACTGTGCTTCTCTGTGAAGATCCTCACTTGAGGTAATTTACAGAACTCATGCCTTCAAAACAGTTCCCACTTACCACTAAAAATCCTTCACGGGAAGTTAAAAAAACCAACAAGAATAACAATATGCAGATTCATTTCACACTGTCTTCCATTCAACTCAAAGGCAGGATTCTTTATGGCCCTGCATGTATAAATTCGGGGGGGGGGGAATAATCCCTTTTCCCTAGAGCGCTATCTACATTTAGATCTCACAGGCAGAGATTTAACAAGAAGACAATAGAGATGAGCCAGCATTTGAAACGCTGTCACATCATTAGGTCAATTTTCCTACAGTCTTTGGGTAAGATGAAGATGAGAAATGCTGCCTCTTCTCCAGCTTACTGAAACGTGAGGTATCGTAACTTTGCTTAACTCTATGTGACACGGAAGGAGAGGATGAAATACATTATTCAGGAGAGCCAGCTCACGTGGCTAAAAAAACCACAGCAGCAGTCACAGAGAACTGGCCTATCGCCCCAGGAGTCTGGCATACCACGCCAAACACTCTATCTGCTCGTGAAGGAAAGGAAAAGCACTAGAAAAGGAAGTGCCAAAAGAAAATGTCCTATCAGCTGCCTCTCTTACGCAGAAAGCATACTCTGAAATAATGGTGAGTCCTCTAGGGTGTATCAGGGCACCTTACCATGTCATCAGTAGCAACATTCACACTTTCTTGTTCCTTCCTGCTGTTCAGGTGCAACAAATGCATGCTGTCATAGCCAGGCAACGTCCAACCATATCTTTGGAGACACAGCCTACTTCTAGCCAGCTAAAGTCAGTGTTTATGTACATGAGGTCAAAATACCAGTTCCATAGTCGTCAGAAGAAATCATAGCCTTTGGGAAAGGGCAAACTAGTAGCTTGTGAAAAATGAATTCAACAACTTTAAGATGGGGAAAACAAGCCGACTGAGTACTGACCTGGCCACATGTTACCGTCTACCTTCCTGCAAGTGGCAGTGCTAAGTAGTTAGCACCCAACTGAAAAGAAACATTTAATACTTAAAGAATGATTCTGTGAGATGATTGAAACCTCCCTAACCTGTGTGAGTTTGTCCAGCTCCCCCAGCCAGGCCCCAAACATCTTGTCCAGATCCTGATCTTCCTTATCACTATCTTCTTCCGCACCATGGTCAAGTTCTTCATCTGATAACTGCTCCATCTGAAAAAAATAAAAAGTTTGATACTCAAATTGTAGCAGTGTGTAAGAAAACTGGTGTCAGCTACTAAGTTTCTGAAAAAGTGTTCTGAAGTCAAAGCATAGGTCTGTCCATAAGCTTTATAAAAATTGCATACATTGACAGTTTGTTATCTTGCTGACAAGTAAAGAATTAGTGGGAAAGCTGCAATGGACAATTACAAAGCCATTCTTGCAGCTCACTTTTCGTCAGAAACATGCAGAAAAAGATAAAGAACAGAACCCACAATATATAATACACCATCAGAAATTATTTAATGCTGGCCCTGCACGTGCATTCATTGCCAGCTAATGTTGGCAAAGTCTACTGACTACATTACAAAAATTCAACGCTTGTCCAAGGAATTCAGCTGACCACAGTTAAGCAACACAATTCAACCCACAGGAAGTACAGTCTCACTGTACTGCAAATAGCTGACTCTACACATCTGTAAACAGAAACGCTTAAACAGGCCATAGAGAATGCCAGCAATACATCCCATGAGACAGTTTAAATCTTGAACACTGTCCAGATCACTTCAGTGATACCGCACAATTTTTACCCAACAAAGCAACTCTCCCCTGGAAGCAGAGTCACCATTACAACTAACAGATCCTCCTTCATTCAACAAGTGACTGACCAAGATAAAGATTTCACGTTCTCCAAAGGTTATCTGTTATTACCTCAAAGGAAATCAATCTTTGGTTAACTAAGCCTCTATTCTCTTCCCCAAACATGTCCTCCAAGCTTCTTATATGGACCTAAGACACACATACCTTCCTGGGTGCATCCACATTGTCAAACCCAGGATCTGGTTCAGATATAGCACATGAGAACAGAATGCCACAAGCAGTTACACAAAAAAATTCATGGGGTGTGCTGCGCAGCTTGATTTGCTCAAGTCATGGGCTACACAGTAATTTGCTACACAGCTTTCAGAAAGCACCAGTTTACATTTTGTAGATTTAAAAGCAAGCTATGTAAGTGTTAGTCTTCAGGAAAAGGCAGCCCTTGGTCTGAAAGACGTAAGTGTCTCAGAGCTGAACTAATCAGAGATGTTATGAAAGGTGATAAAGGTGACCTCAGAGAAAAACTTTTCAATAAGTTTTTGACTTTATATGACAATAATTCATGCAAAAAATCTCCGGGATTTAAAAAAACCCTTCCATTCTGTTTATATATTGCTTATATGTCACTTTCCCTGATTATTTTATCAAGGTAACAGGAGAGTTCAGAGGTGATCTACAATTCTGAGGTCAGCAGAAGCCAGTGTCTCCCACAGATGCAAGATACTGGCATCCAGTTGTTGTAGGCAAAGCCACTTAAGTGCCCTGCTGAGATTTTACTTTATTGGGAAAGCACAATGCAGCTGCTTACCTTAAAAGAGGCAGTAATATTAAAGCTAACCTGGCATAGCATACTGCACCGAGCAAGCACTGAACACATTAAATTCACCATCTGAATCTCACTTTTTCCAGCACTTGTTTTGGGTGCTATTAAGTACTTCAAACACTCCAGGGAACAGAAGGAACCTCTTCTTAAATTTTAAGAGTGATGCTGAAATCAAGGGGGGAAAAAAAAAAAGCTTATGTAATAGAGCTGCATCCTTCCACCAGTATTTATGTTCTGTAAGTCAAGCACGCCTCCCTCTGCAAGGTTCTTCTCCATGATGTCACCTGAAAGCCCTCCCACATACAGCAAGTTAGCAGCAACTCATACCCTGCTTGAACTTCTGCAAAACAAACAGAAGCTGGATTTCATTTTCACACTCCTCCAAAGCTTTGCTTTACTACTCCTTGGGCTTTTACATGGACCAGAAATATTGTAAATTCCAGACAATACACTTGTCCTGATTTATACTTAAGGTGACATGGTCAAACTGCTGTAACAGCGTTCACATTCAACAACGTAACATTTCTGTGTCTAGAAACACTTGAAGAAAATAATTCTTACCTGAAGGCAAAGGGAAGCTTTTAAAAGCGTGCCTTAGGAAATACGACTGTGAACTGGCAAATCAAATAAATGGAAACTGTGATATAATGCAGACAGAGCTCGGTATTTACAGATACTTCACACTGCTAGCCTTTCCCTCTTTGAGCTGTTTTTGCCACTTACTCTACAGTTACACAGGACTTGGTTTGCAGTGCATTTATTCTGTGGCACTGTTCATAACTCTGCCTTTCATTAAGAGAGAAGCTTGTTCTTTCCACTAATATTTCTGAGGATCTGAGCTGTGGAAAGAAACGAGCATTCTCAATTTCCCATAAACTGTTGCTTTAGCTATTTTAACTTGGCATCAGAGACACTGCATTAGTTCCAGTTACTCTGAAGACAGAATTAGCAGCCTAAAGAAAACTTCTACAAGTAAAGTACTGTTGTGTCAGCAAGTCTGGCACTAAATCCTATAGTATTTGCCAACTCCTTGTAGTCCCCACCCAAGCTTCCTAACATCAGCTGCATTTCCTATGAGCCTGTCAACATTTGCTTGCAGAAAGCACAGAGAGGATAGTGTCTCACTTAAGAAACAGCTAACATTAACTTGCTAGTTCTCTAAAAGGGATCTTCATTAGCACAAGCTCCACTACTGGAAGGAGATATCCCAAAGGGCATTACTTAATGGATTAATTCAATAAATTAAGGCAGAGACAAAATGTTCAGATAACAGTAACTGAACTTTTTGACATAAGAAATCAGAACAGTAACAACTCAAAACCAGTGCATATTCCAATTAAAAAGCTTGGAATTTTCCTTTTTACAGCCATTTTCTTTCTCACTGAAGCAAACACGCACCACAGTTTAGCAAATCATGACCTTACCGGGAGTTATCACACCTATCTAAGGATATGGCATTTTTGTTTATAACAAGAAAGAAAACCAGAAGTTTAGATGGGGCGGGGGGAGGGAAGGGTCATGCATGCTTTGTCTTGTGGGGTTCTTTTAGGAAGTCATTTCAAACCAAATTAGATCTAGAAATGGAAAAGGAGTAACTCTAGCTCTAGTGTGACACCATAAAGTAAGCCACTTGCATTGCTAAAGCATTTGCAGGCTAGCAGAATTTAAGTAGCTGCTCCTTCTGCTTAGCTCCTACCAGGTGAAGTGCCAAAGTAACTTTAGGATTCAAGTTACTTATCAACACTTCATCTTCTGTTCTGTTCAAGTGTATGTCAGAACAGAACTTAATGAAAATGAGCAGCACCATTGTGGGATACCTAGATAAAATAAAGTACCAACATGGTATAGTCTTCCATATGCAAGTAAGGCCTCCTGCCCTGAAGTGTGGTCTATGTACTATTTCATTATCCACTATGGACTGCCGTCAACTTTACCTGTTTCAAATGCTATTTAAACAGGCAGACCCATAATTGCTGTAAATCAAGTGTTTAGTTTCCAAAACAGCTCTTCAGGTTTGTTCACTTTTCAATGCACGAAGCACAGTATTCCAGTATCACTTTATAAAAAGTTACTGAGCCTTTCATTAAACACACCACTTGCAATATTTAATTATAACCTGTTTTAATTACACTGTAAGGGAAAAAAAAAAATTACCAATAATTTAGAAAACAGGAAACATTTACTCTTTCAAGCCGAGCCCTATGCAAGCCATTGTAGCTTTTGGTATGCCAGGTCAAGCACGAGATGATGCAATATCAAAATACATGAGGAAAGATGAAAAGCCCAGAACAATGCTTCAAATACATCGTTTTGACATTTTCAAGAAAAGATACCATTGCAGAATTCTGAAACTAACAAGCTGCTGTCATCAGAAAGCAACAGCTGATCTTTGGGACAGAGGAAAGTTACCAAAAGTGGTTTTCACTTTTTCTAGACTCCATTCCGCAGACTTGCACTTTGAGATGGTAGCTCCTACCTTAAATTAATCCAGCTCAAGACAATAGGGAATTTTATTATATTAACAAAATTTCCTTATAATGGAAACACTGCACTGAAAAAAGTAATTGCAAATGAATCAGACTGCAGGACTTGTCACCACACTTAATTAATGATGGAAAGATTATCAGAAACAAAAACAGCATTCCGAGTCCAACGGGAAACGTCAATGTGCTTCAAGGGTCAGCAACAAGAATGTGTTTATTCACTATAATTACAGAAGCACTGTAATAAGCATTTTGAACTAGAAATGCCTAAGTATGTTCAAAGGCAACTGACAGCATAAAGCCCCAAAATGAAAACAAACCATCTTTCTTTCAGGCAACTGATGTTTTCACCCCCAACCCTTCTTGTTATTTAAACACAAGCTTGTACAAGCTTATGCTTGTTACTGAAACAAGAATTTTCTTTCTTAAATCAACTACGGAATTTGTTACAAATCTATTACAGGGACACAGTAGACAATACACAAACATTCAAAACACCATCTGAACAAGTAACTGAATTTCTGCATTTCAAAATCCAGGCTAACAAACCATAAGGACCTACATAGTTACGTTTTCCAAACCAGAGTATGCTTTCTCTGGAGCTGGTTTGGAAATCAAGCATTGTTCTTCCAGTTGTGATCACATATGTGTCATCATGCCAGTATCCATTTCTGTTTAAGAAGTAATATATAACAGAACACTACAATAATATACTGTACAAGTGCATAAGCAGAGTGTGCACACATAAATACAAGAGTAAGATTCTAGCCAGTTTTCACCTCTAATACTTGCCTACCCGACTGCTTAAAGAAACACAGTTACTGACAGAAAAAAAAATTGCAATGCTTTCACAACACTGATAGTCAAAGCTCACATCCACCTTGTTACACATTCTCTTGAAGTTCTGGTAAACAATGAAAGGTAGTTTGAGCATGTATGTTATTGGTTTCATATTAACACTCTGTCCACAAGACAGGGACCAATGAAATCCAGCATGTTTTTCAGTAAAAACCAGCAGATCATTTGCTTTAGTACTTCCAGGTCTCTCCTTAATAAGCGTAAAATATTCTGAAATTAACTACTCCTGAAAAGGAAATTTGGAGGGGGAC